ATATATATATATATATATATATATATATATATATATATATATATTTATTTATTTATTTATTTATTTATTACTGCATGAAAAATTCAAATACAAATATTTCTGTTTGCTTTTTCTGAGTATGCGTATCTATCAGCGTGCCTATATTATATGGATACATATATATCCGGTGCATATATAGAAATAAAAATTAATTTAATTTATTAATATAAATTAATTTTATTTATTTATTTATTTTTTTATACTTAAGAAACGAAGAGAGGGTGTATGCGTGGCTGTGTATCTGACCCCCAAAATTCTCTCTATAGTTGAGCTGCTGGCCTCTGCGTTTTTTTGTTCGATGATTTTACAGAAGAGTCGATGAACGCCGCATTCAAAGAAAACTTCTGCGACTTGAATTTCTTTGCGTGCGAGTGTTTGTTGCAGTTTTATCTTTTCTTTGTTTGTTTTTTCTTGGTTTTTCGCAGCATCTTTGGCTTCTTTGTGTTCAGATAAACCTTCTTCTCTTGCTTTTCTTCTTTCTTCTTCGATTTCATCGACTAAAAGGTGCACTTGTGCCTCCCATCCTCCTCCGCCTGCTGTGAGCCCCTCCTCAGCAGCAGCCACCAGGCAACGAATGTCAGCCGCAAACTCAACACGGCGAGGCGGCTTTGAGTATATTCCCGGCATTTCTTTTTCAAAAAACAAAAATTAATATAAAATAAACAATAATAAAGAGAAGAAAGCGAGCGGTTAAGCCCACGTACAGCTCACGTAAGGATATGCATGTTCTTGCACACGCCGCCGCTCTCCGCTCTCCTGTTGTTCAAATCACGCGATTAAAAACCTGAAACATGGGTGAAAAAAAACTTTTCCTGCTTTTTATTTTTATTTATTTCTATATAAAAAGTTTTTATTGAAAGATAACGGAAGCTGTTCAGGTGGCGGCAGCGCGGAGACGTGGTGATGGCTTGGGCGCCTCGAGGCGAAACCATACAAGAAGAGGATTGAAATGAAGGCAAACCGCCACCTAGTATATTTAATAAAGTTTTAAATTGTTTAAAAACTTAATATATGTTTTATATAAACAA